AATGTTCGTCCGTCGCAATCGACGGGAAACTAACTGAGCGCTGGCCTATCAAGAAGTGATTTGGCGTTAAAGCTCAATCTCATTCGGGTCACTGCTTACCGCTGTAAGTGGACGCGCATTGAGGGACTGTTCCACCAGACAAAATGTGGCCTGGAGTACCTCATCGGTTAATTTACGGGGTGTGAGGATGGAGTAGAAAACTCTCTTGCAACTACGTACAAGACGTTCCCAAGAGCCACCATGATGTGGTGAAGATGGTGGGTTATACTTCCATTCGATGCCTTTGTGGACAAGGAGAGCGGGCGCAAGATCATTCCATGCTCGAGTACACAGAAGAAGCTCTTTCTCTGCACCGACAAAGTTTGTACCATTATCGGACCAAATTTTCGATGGAATTCCTCGTCTAGCGATGAATCGTTCTACTCCCATGACACAGGAGCTTGAATCCAATGATGGTACGACTTCAATATGGATGGCTCTAGTGGTCAAACAAGTGAACAAAAACGCCCAACGTTTCTCCGAACTCCTACGGATTGTTACGTGAAAGGGTCCGAAGTAATCGACTCCGCAATTGTTGAAGGGCGCTTGGCGGTATCCAAGACGCTCAATTGGCAGATCAGACATGAAAGGGGTGATGGTTTTCAACTTTCGCTTTCGGCAGTTTTTACAATTAAGTTCAATGTTACGGAGCAATGATCTTAATTTTAAGATTGCATATTCTATCTGGATGACAGATCGTAGGTAGTCAATTGACTGATGCTCATCTTTGTTGTGTTGATGAGCCACAAACAATTTGACTAATGGATGACGGCCATCAAGTATGATGGGATATTTATTTTTAAATTCGAGTTCAGAGAGACGACTAATGCGTCCTATGGATCTAAGAAGTCCATCGGGGTCAATGAATAGGGAGAGAGTTGCAATAGGGCTTACATTCTTAACATATTTCTGAGAACTCAATAATTTGAACTCTGAGGGGATTTTGAGAAAGAAGACACAACATTCGTTGAGAATTATCTATCTCAGACGGTTTAAAGATATTAGCGAATGTTCCACGGAAATGATTAAATTTAGGATTTAATCGGAGGATGAATGCTACTACGCGCAATAATTTGAGAAACGAGCTGTAACGTTTCCACTTAATGACGGGTTCAGGGACTGACGGATTGATTACAAAATTAGTGGCAGTATCGATGACATCATCGATAGGACCTTTTAAATTTATTTTTGTAATCACATCGACATTTGGTCGAAAGGGCCAATCACTGGTTCTGAGGAAGCTGGGACCTTGATTTCAGCTGCTGTCCTTCAAGGCTTCAGCGGCAATACCTCGAGTATCAGCTTGGTTGTTTTCAGTATCTACGTGATACCATTCGTCGACAGTGGTAACTTCCAATATTTCGCCTACTCGATTAGCGACGAATACTGGCTGCTTTGCAGTCGAATGGAGCCATTGTAGCACAGTTGTACTGTCAGTCCACATAAAGACATCATTTATAGGGATCGAAAGTGCTTTCATGATATCTATTTTGAGGCGTGTAGCAAGCAAAGAAGCTTGCAGCTCTAATTTTGGGATGGAAATAGCCTTCATTGGCGCTACGCGGGCTGTACCCAAAATGAAGGCGAGTTTTGTCTCATGTGTATCAATAATCCGCGCACGGAGAAATACAACTGCACAGAAGACTTCCTGTGAACTGTCACCAAACATGTGGAGTTCAATTTTGTCAACTGCGGATGGAAAGTAGCATCTCGGTATGATCAGTTGACCCAGGATGGGTAGACCAGACCGCCATTCGAGGAATTTGGCATTCAAGTCCAAAGGAAGTGGGTTATCCCATTGTTGACCACTGATTCTCCAAATCTCTTTAAGAAGTAGTCGGGCTCTGACAGTGTACGGAGCGACTAACCCAATACGGTCGAAAACTGAAGAGACAAAACTTAGAACTGTACGTTGGGTAACAGTATCCTTCAGTTCTCTGTTTACACCTCGACTAACTACCAATGTATCGAGAACGTGTTCCCATTTCGAACCTAGAACATGCGATTCTTGACCTTCACTACTTAGAATCTCCTTAACTTGACTTAAATTGTCGCTTGACGTACATAACTTTTTCTGAATCTCTTTGACATTGCTCACGAATTTTGCCAACTTAAATCCTCCTAACTTAAGTAGTTCTACAAGGTCCTTACTTAATTTTAATGCCTGTTCAGTTTCGGGAAACGAATCAAGATAATCGTCCATATAGAATTTTTGCAACACGGCTGACGCTGCGTCGGGGAACAAAACTTGATTGTCGCGAGCTGTCTTTCGAAGAGCAAAATTAGCACATGTGGGCGAGTCACGAGCTCCGAAAATGTGTCGCGTGTATTGATACGTTACCACATCGGTTGTGGGATCCGCCCGCCACAGAAAACGAAGTGACGGTTGGTCGATTGGGAGAACACCAACCTGAAGGAACATGCCTTCAATATCAGCTGATACTGCATGTTGATGTTGACGGAATCTCATTAGGACGGCCAGCAGATTCTGAAGCAAATCTGGGCCAACCAAAAGAGCTTTATTAAGTGACGATCCATGAAATTTGGCTGCACCATTTAGGACGCGGCGGACTTTTCCGGGTTTATTTGGATTAATCACGGGGTGATGAGGAAGATACCATTCCCTAGCGGAACGATTTGTGCAGTCATGTGTATTCACTTCGATGACGTAACCTTTGTCAAAATCTTCTTGAATGTTTTTTGCGTATAAAGCCCTGAGGTTTGTGTCTTTGTCTAAACGTTTTTCCATAGATTTAAGTTGTGCTAAGGCGGAGTAGTAGTTGTTGGGCAACTGTGAGTGGTATTCGGCCCAAAGCATCCCAACAGCGTATCTATCACCATCATGTATAGTTGATGCTTCTAAAATTTTATTCGCCCTTTTATCGTCTGACGATCGGGCATCTGCTCGTTTATACGTACCGTATGATTCAAGTTCGTACCAAGATTTGACCTGCTCTACCAAACTTACATCTTCAATGCAAGCATGTTGAGATCAGGCCGGTGGAGGCAGGGAGTGGACCACTTAAGACCCATCCAATTGGAAGGCGAACGGCGAAAGGTGATTTTTGGCTTTTATCCTGGCAGTATTCCAGAGGACAAATGTACTCATAAACATCTTGACCTAAAATCATTTCGACATCAGCGTACCGAAATTCGACTGAATCAATTGGTTCCAAGTGAGAGTATTTCTCTTGCAACCTACGAACGTTAATTATATCTGAACCTATGTAAATGTTGTTTTTTACATATGCACAAACGGTGAACGAAATATCTGGATCAAATTCAGAAGAAACGTTCAAATCAACTTGTTCTGAAGTAATATCTTCGGAACAATTGACACCATTGACAGTCAAATCAACTTTCCTACCTGTCAGATTGAGTCTGCGAGCGAGTTCAGGTGAAATACAAGAGTGACTGCAAGCTGTGTCACATAACACAAGTGCGGTGGTTTCAGAGTCATTTGATGATATTGTGAGATTTATAAGTGGCATCAGTCCTTTTAGATTCATAAGGGATGTCCCACAAATATTGTTTTGCGTCGTGGGTCTAAATGGAGTTTGAACTGCGGGATTGGCTGCAGTTGTGTGCGGTGCATAACCAGATTGGTTATTTGTAGGGAAAACGCGTTCTGCGCCGTGCAGTAACACATTATGAGTGCTCTTGCACTGTGGTTAAGGACAAGTTTTGGGCTTGGGACATTTCCTAAACATGTGATTTCCTTGAAAACAAGAAAAACAAAGCTTATTTTCAGCGCAAAATTTAGCACGCTGTGTTGGAGTTTTTTCTTTAAAAACGCTACATTTATAAATTGAATGCTTGCCTTTACAAACTAAACATGGACTATATTGAATATTTGCGTCAAACTTAGCTTGCGAGTTTGCGGCAAACATTTTAACATTGGTTTTTGTCCGAACCGAATTATCTTGATTTCTATTGTAATTTGATGAAGGACGCATACGTTCTTGCGCTTCAGCTTTATCCTCCAGCCAATGATTGAAATCAATTAAAGACGGAGCATACAAACTCCGTTTTACGGTGTGGAACGACCAAGACTCTTTCAAATTAGGTGGGAGCTTCTCTATTGCTTTATCGAGAAGTGTTGCACTTTCAAGGTCTGCGTTGTAATGTAAAGATTTGAACACTCCAACTATGCTTGCTATCATGGATGCAAAACTTATGATGCTGTCGGAACTATGCATCTTAACGGGCGGTGAATTATAAAGTTTGTCCAGATATGCACGTATTATTATTTGAGGTTGGCCAAATTTTCTCTCAAGTTTCATGAGAGCGTCTTTGTACATCGTACCACTATAGGCAAACTCAGCTATAGCAGTCTCAGCTTTATCTTTGACTAATGATTTCAGGTAGTGCAGCTTAACATCATCTGACAAGTTTTGAGAGTCCACAGCACTTCGGAATTGTCCAATCCATTCAAACCACTGAAGTGGACAGCCACCGTATTTCCTAAGGTTCCACGGTGGTAATGGATCCTTACGGTTGAAAGTTAGTATTTCCTTTAAATCTTCAAGGGTTACTGCATTAGGTGGTGGTTGAACTGAGGTTGAAGCGAAATTGTGTGGCTGAGGAACAAATGATGTCGGATAAGCTAAGGCACTATGTGGATAGCTGGGGACTTGAGACAACTGCTGTGTTGACACTTGCGCTTGGTTATTGTAAAACACTGTCCCTCCAACAGTGCACGGGTATTGTGAAAGTGGTGGTTGCACTATTGGTGTGACAGTTTGAACGGTATTTAACGCCTGGGGTACTGTAGAATCTGATGCGGTAAATGGCGCGGTGGTTGGAGGTGCCAGGTATTCATATTGGGTATATAACGAACTGGATGTGGATGGTTGAAGGATGGTTGATTTGTTGAAACACGAGTTGAGTTATTAATACTCGCTGGTGGAGCAGTAATAGGAACCAGGTTCACTGGCTGGGTTGCCGTATTGACTGTTGTATTAATTGGGACAGAAGCATGTAATGTGGGGGACCATTGCTGCTGGCATACGTGGAATGAAAGGAAGCGGGGGCGAGGACGGGGGCGGGGGTAGTGGTGGCGGCGGTGGGAGAGGTTGAGAAGGAATCTTCAAATTATGAACGGTAGATGATACCACCGATTGTAATGGTAGGCAAACGCTTGGGTTGCTACTGGATGGAAAAAGGTGGACGTTTATTAGATCAACCGTGCTTGGTAGTAGAGACGAAGAAACCAAATTGGCGATTCCCGGAGGTTGAGGTTCTTGTCGGGGAACAATGGTTATTGTTGATGCAAGTTCCGACGAATGTGTATCGAGTGCTTCATCTACCCAATCTTCTGTTCGGGCTTCAGCGACAACTTGTTGTGTTCTACTCGAAGGCAGAGCGATTTTATTGATGTCAGTATCAATGTCCGAATCATCATCCATTAATTCTGTTTCAACTAATTTGGCCTCATTGAGCTTTCGTTTGTTCTCCTCAACAAGTGTCTCAAGAGCCAAATCGTTTTCTTTTTCTTTTAGGCGGACACCTGTTTCATTTTGTCGCTTGATTTCAAGACGTCGCAGTTTTGCTATTTCGAGTTCATGTTTGCGCTGACTGGAAGTCATTGAAGACGCTCTAGAGTGCAGGGAACTATATCGGGTGGACCGGCTGACAGTTGAAGCAGCTCGCGATGCTTGCGGGTCAGCATTTTCAGTCTCTGGAAACAAAGTTTTCGCCATTTCCAAGTGCCTAATTGACAATTCCAGCATTTCATCTCGAGGGCAAGTAATGCTGATCAACCAAGTGTCAAGATCAGCGAGAGCACTGCTAGGTTCTAGCGTTTTTTGAGCAAGAATGCGAAGGTCGTCGTTTTTCCTTATTGCGTTTTTTATTGCTATTTGGCACTGCTGGATAGACCTTTCAACTTTGACTGTCCTTATATTTGCTAAGAGTGAGTCTTTCAGATCTGAATAGAGCCTATAAAATTCCTCCTCATATTTCCAACGTCCGTCAAAACACCTAGACAGCTTCTGAGCTTGCTTGTCTGTCATGACTTAGCTTTAAATAAAGGAAAAGCGGGCGGTTGTGAACTATCGAAAAAAGGGGATTAAAAAGTCAAGTGTGATGTCACTCTTCACACCTGCTCAGAAAAACCGGATTTGCAATAAAGAACGTCACACTTTACTTCACAAAGGGGGGTGGGGAAGTTCACCTTTACGATTTAGAGCGAGCGGAAATAAAAAAAAAAGGAAAACAGTAATTTAGAGTTAAATTACAAATTGAAATACATTGACACTACAAAGAATATCAAAAGTTCTTTGCTGCAGATTCGATAGCTAGGCGGCGGTTGCGTTCGGCACGACGCTTTTTTTGAGAGGGTCGCTTTTTTTTGTTCTTTATTTATCTTCAGTTTGCCGTATTACTTCGGACTATCGAGAAAGACTTTAGTTCAAGGTCAGTTTCGTGGTGAATTTGGAAGTACTGACGGAGTAAGCGAGTGTCTTTCTGCTTACGCTTAGAGATTAAGTCGCCAGTCACGCTTAAAACTAAAACGCCCGCAATATTACTTTTGTAATAAAGCAGAATGTTGCGCAGTTCGAATTCCGTGAGTGCTGTATCGTTGTTACTATTGTGCTTGCTGATTGAATTGTTGATCAGGTCGTGCCAGATTATTATATCATTTCTATGGGCTAATTTGCCGTCTAAAAAAGTTTTGGCACGTTTTGATTGGTACTTGTGGTTGAGACTTAAACCACCAAGGGCATAACAGTATTGCGATATACGGTTTTGCTCGGCTATACGTAGCGTTTTATGAGCACGAGGGAGCGAGCTAGCGGCTAATATACACATTTACGACGGCATTCGGCACGATAAAAAAATCGGGGGGGAATCAAGTCAACCGGATTTTGAGAATCTCACACCTGCTCAGAAACAACCGGAGTTGCAAAAACTCAAAGGGATTGACTTGATATAGTGCTAAGGGGTCTGTACACTGCGTAATTTTGCAGTGCTTACGTTTGCCGGGCTGTTTTTTTCTTCGCAAAAAAAATGAGAATTTTTTTTTTTTCGAAATTTTTTTTCTTCTTATCGTCTACGTCAGTTTGGTACCGAAATTAGACAATTTGGGGTCGATTTCGGATTTTTCAATTTTTTGCGAAAATTTTCTCAAAAATTTTCACAATTTTTTTTTTTCTAACGGGTCGGAACGGTGGGTTCGGGTTTGAGTTTTCGACTACTAACTATAAACTAGCAAATGAAACCAAAATTTTAACTTTTAGTCAAATTTTTTCGATTTTCGATTTTTTTTTTGGATTTCGGGTTTTCTGGGTGGGGTATTCGGGTTAGACTATTGGCAAAAGCACGGTAAACACAATGAAATCAACATTTTAGCACACTGAATGGATTTGATGGGTCACAATAAAAAACTTTAAAGGATCGTACAACAATTATAGCTCTGGTTTATGAAGAAACTAAACTGAAAAGTTACGTCTTACAATATTTTTTTTTGTCAACTTCGGCCATCAAAAACGGTTGGGGGATTCCTGTCTCACTTGCAAGTAGCTGTCTGCATACATCTTCGTGAAATTGCACAATCACCTTTCACTGAGGTACTTCTCACTCACAAAAAACTGAGTCGTTAAGGGTTTCGTCTGGTTTGTCGTCGATTGTCGGCGGACCATGTTTCCACCTGTGTTCGGTCTGTGGTGGTTCGGTCGAGTATATCGTCCGTCTGTAGATTGGCTGTATGTATCTCGATTGAGAAAACGATTGTTCAATATATATATATATATATATATATATATATATATATATATATATATTTTTTTTTTTTCCTTCAAAAATTATCGAAAATCATTAAGAGGAAACAACGGAATAATATCTGTTTCGGAACAAAATTATGAAGTTTTAAACGAAATCGAAATCCAAAGCGACTTTATTGCCACTACTTTTGCCAATAAGTGGGGATTTTCTCGCTTGCCAGAAGTTAGAAGTCAATTCTGGCCAAAGTCTAATTAAGTTCAAGTCCAGAACATCATTTAAAAACAAGTTTGACTTAGGAACATTTTTTATCCGGTTCAAATCAAGTGTATTCCAAATTTTTTAGTAGTAAAATTTTTGGAATGACCGGGATTCGAATCGGCGACCTTTCGGTTTCAGGTCAAGTACGTTACCGCTAGACTAGCTGGTCTTGATACGCTTTCATTTTAGTTTCAATCTTGAACATTGAGAAACAGTGAAAAACAACGAAAATTATTGTCGGCAACCATCATTCCATCGGAAGCTTCGAGTCAGGCGCTCATTGATGAGAAGGGCTAATTTAACCACTAAAGTTTGGAGCATGGCGAGAATTTTGACAAACGGTACGACTCTTCCGTTTTTCAATGTAAGTATTAGTTTATGGAAAGAAACGAGCCCAAACATGGAAAAAAGTAATTCATGAATGAAATATGGGAGCGCATTAACGAGGTGACACCTGAACGTCTGCCCAGCGAAGGAATTTTTTTGCGAAATTTGTATTTAGAAAGGAGGACACTTCGCAAGATTAATTATATCAAGAAAAAGCGGCCCACTGTGAGACTGTAAATGATATTGTGCATAAGAAAAATTGTAAAAGCGTCCCGCAGGAAAATTGCTGTAGCGAAATTCAGAAAAACTGCAGAGTGATAAACGCTAGAAAAGGGAAGAGACAAAGCCAAGATGACGATAATTCGGCTGTAAGCGTAAGTACAAAATATGATGAGAACGGATTAGAGATCATGAATATGATGGACACTGGATAAGCTGGGAGATAAACAACCATATATCGCCTGCCTGAGAAACACTTCAACTGGACCGCTAACACCGGATGGAAAAAGCTGATATCCTTTGATGTCCCTTAGGGAAAAAACGGAAATGAGTCGGAAATGAGTCCTACAACAGAATCAAAGGACAGCATTCTTTTGGCCACGATCACCACAAATAACCGCGGCTCCCTCATACAAGAAACCAATCATTTCGCAGGTCATCAAAGAAATTCACCTCAGGAGGAAATTTTTACTGAAAAGCTTATAATCGGATAAATGAGACCCCTACTTTAAACTCGTCAGAATGTCCATCATCTACTCGTCCGATCATACAGTTACGCTCGAGAACGGTCGCATTAAAAAAAACGGATCTGGCAATTATAGGAGAAGTTTGTCAACGGATAACTACTAGATTAAGCAGAACTGCCACAACCTCTGGCGCCACTCGGTTACCAACGGAAACAGTCTTAGTTCCCGAATCGCCCCAGAAAACTTCAAGTTCTTCTCCTCATTAGACCTTAATTTTTGGGATGGGTTTTTCGGCGTTTATTTTGACGACTTTTTGAACAAAAGTATTACCATCTGCCACAACCAGGACAATTGCAGATCGTAAATTTGATTCGAGTTTTTCTGGTGGGATATAATTACTCATTTTGATTCTGCTTTTCCAAGTGAACCAACGGTCTACAGTCCACAATTTTTTCTACATGGACCATCGGACAATTGAGGAACATATTTCGACCCAATCAATATCGACAAGTCCCCGAAGGCTAACTGATCAATTGTGCATCGAATTCTTTCAGTCCTAGACAAAATAACATGACAAGGAAGTGGGGAAAATGTGCTTATTTTCCAAAAATTGTAATGATTGATATTCAAAATTTCTGAAGCCGGAGTACGGCCACAGGTCGGTGAAGCAGATTCAAACAAACTCCCAATACCGAAAAAATTTTTGCTCATTTCTCGAACTTTGCTCATTTCTCGATTCAAGAATTTTGCTCATTTCTCGATTTGATAAGACAATACAAAACAGTTGACTCGAACATTTCAACTCTGAGTTCCTCACTCGAACCTCTGCTAAACAAACTAAACTAATTATCGAAGTATGTCTGGGAAAACAACCACTCAGTTGCATTCAAAAGCTGAGATCCGAAATAGTAAAATTTCACAGATAATGTCATTTCGACATCAAAAAAGAAACGAGATTGAATACGGACGCTTCACACAACGCATTGGGAGCTACGTTTTAACAAATTCAATTGGAGGAATGGAAAACAACTGCTTTCTCTGCGAGTTGAAATTTATACAGATCAAAAAAATGTTATTGACACTCCTTTCATTGAATCATAGCAAAAAAAAAACAAAGCACAATAGATTAACAAGTTGAGTAAACAGATTTCACCAAACATTTGAAAATTTTCTCATTGATCAGTGAGAGACATGAGCTTGACAGTATTTTTATTGAGGCTTTGTTCGGGTAAAATCTATTTGTCGCAGTTTTAACTGACAAAATATGAAAATTTTCACGAATAGAAATTACATTTATCCTGTAAACGCTCTATCTGTTAAGAGACCGCCGTCCGTCGCTGTAAATTCAGTTGTAAGCCATCACATCTCGTCGGTAGCATTATTTTCTAGCAATCTGATTGGCGGAGATTTACAGCGAGCTCAATAGCTTCAAATAGTTTCAGATTGTTTGCAGTTTTTATCACGTGTATTGCTAAGTCACTCAAAATTTGCAATAATTCCTATTCCCGATAAAATTAAAATTCTGAAAAGTGCTTGCTCCTCAAAAAATCCTAATTTTCGAAATTTTGAATTCGTTTCATTCACAGATAAATTCATAATTATTTCTTAAAGCTACCAAAAATTTATACTCCTAATAAAAAGACCAGCAGTTCGGAAAAAAATTGCTATTATTAATTGTCCCAGAGGAACAAAATGAAGCCGTTGAATTTGAAGTTAAAATTTGATCTGATGAGAGCTTTCCGTCATTTTGAAACGTATTAAAGCAAAACTGAACATCTTTACACAAGAAAACTTTTACAAATAATGACGAATGACAATAAAATTCTTTGAGAACATATTTTCTACACTAAAAAGTGGCGGAACTATGGGAACCTACGGAGCCCATGTGATGAAATTTGAGATGAACCTTCACATGAAGGACGAGCTACTTTCATGAACAAAAAGCTAGGTAATTGTGCCAGCAGCCATTCAGGGCGCCTTCAGTTGAATGCTCCGCGAGACACACCACTCATTTTTTGGGAGTCATGCAGTCAGTGATTAAATGCCGGTAAAAACCTCAAAAACTGTTGGGGACAGGAGATACGGCTAAACTTCCACATGGTTCTTTCGCAAACGAGGAATTGAATTTAGGCTTCCCCGGATCTTTGGACGCTTTTTGGGGAGAGAAGAAAATCTTTTTTTATCGATTGACCATTTTACCAATTTTTCTTTGGCAAAAAGGGTTAAAAAACGACTTCCAGTTCAAACAACTCAATTTTCAACAAAACTTGTCATCTTCATGATTTTCCAAGACAAACTAGAATGTACTGTGGATCATGGTTTGTATCTCTCAACTTTAAATCAGTCTGTGAAAAAGCCACTATCGAAATTTTTATTCTACATAGGAGATCATGCATCCAATGAACTTGCTTTTACTGTTAAATTTAAAATATTAGCTATGTCGTACTAATTACTGAAACCAATGTTAAACTCTTCAAGCAAAAAAAATATTTCGAAAATGAGAAGTACAAATCAACCATCTATCGAGTGCAACCCCTTGAGAATTATTTTAAATGGACCGCTATCATTGGATGGAAAAATCTAATTTCCTACAATGTCCGTTTAATTAAGGAAAAATTGGCAATATCCGACCAAAGAGTCAAAACTGAGAACTGCACGGTGGGGCAGAGAATTGGTAACCTTCGTTTGGCCTCGATCACCAAAGAGAACCGCGACCCCCTGATACAAGAACATAAATACTTCGCAAGTCATAAAACAAGCTCGCCTCAGGAGGTTATTTTTACAGTAGGTATTTTACATAAAAATTGATCTAACATCCAAAGAAGAAATCTTCCCGGTCATCCGAAGTTTTTAATCAAATCAGCACTCAATGGGCAAAATACTAGCTTTTTGACAAGTTTAGCTGGAAAGGGGAAAACTGTCTCCAAGAAAGAAGGCTTCAGGAATTACACCACAACGGATAACTACAAGACTAAACAGAACAACCACAACCTCTGGCACCACTCAGTTACCAACGGAAACAGTCTTGGTTCCCGAATCGACCCAAAACACTTCATGTTCTCTCTCCTCACTAGACCTTAATTCTTGGGATGGGTTTATCGGCGTTGATTTTGACGACCTTTTGAACAAAAATGCCACCATCTGCCACATCCAGAACAATCGCAAATCCTTATTTTGATTTGAGTATTACTGGTCGGGACATAAATACTGAATTTTTTTCTGCTCCTCCAAGCGAACCACAGGTCTCCAGTCCACAGTTTGTTCTACCTGGACCATCGGACACTAGAGGAAAATATTCTGATCCAATCAATATCGACAGGTCAACGGAGGAATATTCACCTACTTTGATCAATCGCAAATCCTTATTTTGATTTGAGTATTACTGGTCGGGACATAAATACTGAATTTCTTTCTGCTCCTCCAAGCGAACCACAGGTCTCCAGTCCACAGTTTGTTCTACCTGGACCATCGGACACTAGAGGAAAATATTCTGATCCAATCAATATCGACAGGTCAACGGAGGAATATTCACCTACTTTGATCAATCGCAAATCCTTATTTTGATTTGAGTATTACTGGTCGGAACATAAATACTGAATTTTTTTCTGCTCCTCCAAGCGAACCACAGGTCTCCAGTCCACAGTTTGTTCTACCTGGACCATCGGACACTAGAGGAAAATATTCTGATCCAATCAATATCGACAGGTCAACGGAGGAATATTCACCTACTTTGAATATTCACCCTCCAGACCAAGAAGAATTGCTGGTCCCCTCAATTTTTACGGAGAACGCAAATTTTAGGAGAAGGTTTCCGAAAAGAAATCTCTCGACCCCACGGTCATAGTATAGGATGACAGCTCTGCAAACTACTCATTCCCAGCCTTCTTCCCGTGTTGTATAACTTCGGACTTCTTGACTCCTTTAGCAAACTTGTCCCAAAACTAACCTGGTCATCTTCCAACACAACCCCATTGGGAACTGTACAATCGATTTCATCACAACCAACAGCGACCAATGCTCCTGATGGGAATACCTTTTCGTTAGTTTTGAAAACACCGATCATAATTAAACAATGTGAGCGGATATCTCTAAGTATTGAAACAGAGTTCAAAAAACAGTTTGAAGATTTCGACTCCAATTTGAGTTGAAACACTCAGTGAGAAATTTTTGGATTAAATTTGTGTTATTTTAGATACCATCCTGTAAAATTTCTAATTTCACCCATTTTTGTACAATGTTGTACTGATCCAAATGTGCAAATGTGCATACGCTATTTCTTTCTATTCATCCTACTCTGGTTTTTGTGAAGTTTGTGAGTTTTTTCATCCTGCGTTGAAGAGGGAAATGGGTGTAGATAGACTTTGTATCAAAGTATTTGTAGATTTTTTTTTGGTTGAGGAAGGTTGTGTTTTGTGTTATTATTCTACTCTTCTGGCCTTCGGTATTGATTAGATCCAGTCAAGCATTAACATGAATGCTCATCGGTCGATCTTTCAGTTCCTGTTAGTTTTAAAACAGACAATTTAATTCAACGCATTTCTTATTTTTTTCAATCTTTAGTTTAGTGTTGTACATAATTTGAACATACCTAGTTAGAACATCTTAACATTTTATTAACTACCATATCCAGTCGCGGATCTAGGATTTTTTGACTCTCCAGGAGAAGTGGATGCCGGTTTGGCCTGCTTAGGACAGGTTAACCAAAAATAGATATCGTGTAAAATAATACCAAAGAGAGGTCGAATTGCTGAAAACGATGGTGTCCGACCAGCACCCCACAATAGTCCGCTCATGTGATAGTCAATTTCTCTACTGACGTTTGAGAGCAGAAAAACGCACGGATTATGAATTGGTCGCGTTCGCATGCAATGTAGGACATGATTTCCTGATGGATTTTATAAGGATAAGCGGGATTAGAAGGAGAAGTTCGGTTGTCCCCTTTTCAAATTTTTTGGTCTTCCCATGTCATTTCTTCTACTTCTGTCGGCTTCAATTGGTTTGATAGGACCATGAAATAAATTTATGAAAAGAAATGTTCCAAGAAAAAGAAAAGAGTTTCCAAAACCTAAATTTTTTCGAAACATGTTATTTGATTCCACAAATTTTTGTTTGTTTATCGGGAGAACTGATAAAAATATACATTTACTGAATGATCACATTTAAATACAAATTAGAGGAATATCATGGCAGCGGCATTTTACAACGCAACTCAAAGAAAACTGAAAGATGCATTAATTATTTTACATAACCGATTTTTTTTAAATCTGACAAAATTTTTGTCGTCAAACAAAATGGGGATACTTTTTGATACGTTTTTTTGACAAACTGATTAAAGAATATTGTTTACATTGCTGCTAATTTTTGCTGCATTAAAGAAAAAATGATAACTGTTTTGTACTGAATAAATAGTCAATGATTTTTTCGTGCTCAGTGTGACAAACTCAAACTCATTCCAATTCCGAAGTACAGTACATTCCAAATGAGGAATAGAGACGGGAACGCTTTCTTAGACATGGAGTCAATGTCGTACCAGTTGACTTTCGGCTTAGTTGGCATTCGGATTTCAGTGCTATCTGGTTTATTTTCACTCTTGCAATCTGGTGATTGTTCGGCTGCGTCGGAAACAGGGACGTTTTGGTACTGTTGTTTCTGAATGCTGCTTTTCGGGGCGATGGTTTTTGGAGGTCGTCCGGTATTGACCATTGCGAACTCGATCAGAGCTCCGAACACGAAGAAGAAGTTGACTATCATATAGATATCCCCTAATTTCAGGTCGGCTATTGAAGGGAACCTAAAGAAAATGCAGCAAAAAATTGTAATTTTCGGCTGGTTTTTCCAGTGAAACACTTTCATCGGAAAAATTTATAAAGTCCTTGATAAACTAAACCGGTTGCAGTAATAATTACTTCGATTTTTTTTCTTTGTCCGACCCCAAAAATGAGTCTTGCGAGAAAGCAGCTTAGATAACCTAATCCTTAGCGTTTCTAAGATATCAGCTAGATTGAGAGAATCGAAAAGTCATTCAAGTGAATAGTAAAAATAGATCAATAGACCAGCCTCTGAGGTTTAGATCCCACTCTACTTGGGGCAAAAGCTGACACGTGTTTAGGCTTACTGTACTCCCGGAAGCTAAAAACACGCAGGAAATTTTTAAGATGAACAAAATATTGAGCCAAAAACAAAAATAACTTTTCACCGCCCATCCTCCTGTTCTCCCAACATAAGGGCATTTTGGCTTCTCTTTGCACTTGCATTAGAAAAAAGATTATTTTTGCCAACAGACAGTTCAAAAATGGACATCCTAAGCAAAAAAAATCTGAATCAAGAATTTTCGTCATCAAAAAGTATTTTCAAATGAACATCTTTTGCCCATTAATCTCAAAAACGGAAGTTTGTTGTCACAAAACGATTCAGAATTAAAATCCTCTGTAGAAAAACTGAAAAGGAAAAACTTGTTTTTAAGGAATATTTTCGAGTCGACATCTTTTGCATGAAAAAAAATTGATTAAAAAGCTTCAAATCAATGAACGTTTTGAAAAGATATTGCATGCACAAAAAAACGGAAAGAAGAAATTTTGAAGAATTTTTAGAAGAACAACTAATTAATGCAAACAAATTGGAGAATTTTTTTTCGTGAAATGACTTTTGATCGTAGAAGTTATGAACAAAACATGAAATTAAAAAAAACTTATTAGCAAAAACAGTTTTACAACAAACATTTCATTAAAAAATACCTGATGAGAAAACTGTTTGCCACAGAATTGAGTTTCGCCATTCCTTAAATGTGCTCTCAAACAAAAAAATATTAAAATTTTTTGTCATGAAAAAACTTCGACAATGACATACTGCAAAAAATTCTGAATGAAAAAAAATTATTGAGAACGTAGCTGTACAAATAGACAATTTATGCAGCAAAAATTTTTATTTTTTAGTTAACATTCAGTTTTTTAATGGAACTCTTAAGCAAAAAAAATCCAAAAAAATGAAATTTTGTTCCACTATATTTATCTTGCAGTGCTGAATAAGCAAAGATCATGCAAAATATTTCGGCATTTTGTCAAATAATGGATAAAGCAAATAATAAGCTAGATAAATCAAATAATCAAAAACATCATTGGATTGTTTTCAATTGGCAAGTCAAGCAAAAAAAAATCTTATCCTTCTCAAGTTTGGTATAAAAATATTTGTCAAAAAAACGGGATTTTTGGTTGTCAATGGAAGTTTTGGCACGACAAATTAAGCCAACGAAATCTGCAAGTAAATCAACCAAATTTAAACTATTAGTTCTTCAAAAAAAAATATGAAATCTGAGACAAAAAACCGGCACAAAATTTTTTTGTGATCAATTGACATTGATGGTGGTTTTCTGCAAACAAAATCTGAATAATTTTCAATTTCTTTTAAGCGAACACTTTCAATTGGTAACTTAATGTAAAATCAATTGAAACTCACAAAATCTGTCGTCAAATAGCCATTTTTAGTAGACAACTTGTCAAAATCAAAAACAAAACGGATTTTTTTGTTAAAAAAAGTTTTCGATTTGGCTTTTTCAGCAAAAAAGAGTTTGAGCACAAAAAAACTGACAATTTCAAACAAAATCATAATGTCACAGTTTTTTGGTTTCGAGGGAAACTTTCATATTAAATTTTCAAGCAAGTAAATTTGGAAAATATTATTGAGGGATAAACATTTTTTGTCAAAAATTTGAGACAAATATGTTTGTTTTCATGCGAAAGCTGCTGCAAATTTTCTGAGGCAACAAATATTTTAGAATGGAAACGTTCTGCAAAAAAAGTATAAGAAAAGGTCTCTGGCCTTTTAAAAAATCATCTGCAAAAATCAATGTGAACAAGTTGGAAAGTTTAAGTTGTTTATGGATGGAAAAATTGTCCTCGAAAAAAAGCTATCAATCCAAGAAACTTAACGTTTTGCCGGTATCTTCATCTAAAAGTATTGAAAAAGCAAAAATGTGTCAAACATCTTGCTAGTTTTTGAACATCTGGATCACCCAAAAACAAATACAAGCGGAAGTTTTTGGCTGTACGCTTTGGGCAACACAAAACATATTCAACAATTTTTAACAATGGACCGTTTCCAATGGGCACTTCATAAAACAAAAATCTGAGTAAATTAAATTTTGGTAAGAATGAGGCCCATGGAGTGAAAATATAATCGGCAAAGAAATAAATTAAAAGATTTTTGGTTGTTCGTGAACATTTTGTTAAGTTGTCTGGTTGATTGTCCGTGAAACTGCTAGCAAAATTAACAATTTTTGGTTGACCGTAAGTCAGCAAGCAAATATAACAATTTAAGGCTATAAATTCGTTAAAAAATTTTTTTTTGAAAACCTAATAAAGAAGTTATGAGTTTTCATAAATCAATCGACGTTTATGGTTTGGTAATTTATGCAGAAAAGTTCTGAACAATTTCATTTTTAATTTAAGGGACATCTTTGATCGGAAATCTTAGGCAACATGAATATAACTGAAAAAAATCTGTTGTCGAAATGCAATTTCGAATAGACACGCTTTGCAATAAAAAAAAACAGAAGACGGAATTTGAGTTTTTTGTCCATAAACTTTTTTAGTACTAATATCGTGGGATTTTAGAACTGCCCATTTTTTTTAAATGCAAACTTGCAGTTTGAACTTTTCGGAAGTGAAATTGCAAAAAATTTGTTTAAGTAACGAAAAAGAAGTCTGAACAAAAAATATTTGTGTCGCACTTACAAAAAACTGTATTTCATAAAATCTGAAAAAAGTCCGAAACTTTTTCCAACAAAAACCGTTTTGGAATAGAGCAATTCTGCAAAAAAAAAAAACAATACGAATATAAACAACGATAAAATTTTTGAACAGACTGCTGATGAAAATTTAGTACAATACAGATCAAGATAAACGTTTTTTGTCAGTTTTTTGACTTTTTAAAATCAATTTCATGTGCAAAAATCAGTTTGAAGTAATTGGACGACTACCAATGGAAGTTTGATCCAAAAAATGTTTTTGCTTCGCTGTTTCCAATAATTTAAATTTTTGTTCTACTATGTTTATCTACCAGTGTTGATTAAGCAAAAACGTGTCAGTTTTTTGATAGTTGTCAGATTCTGGATAGATCAAAATGAATACAGACAAAAAATGTTGATGGGATGCTTTATTTAATTTAAACGAAACTGAAAAATTTTTAATAAAAATGAAGTGCTTCGCATGGGCAATTCAAGCAAGAAAAATCTAATTATATTAAATTTTGAATAAAATAACGCTTATGGAGTGAAAATATTTGGCAAGAAAAAATTAACTTAAAAAATTGTCAATTGCCAGTGCATTTTAACTAAACAAATTGAGCAAACACATTTGCAGGCAAATTTACTAATTTAAAACTTCAATAGAAAAAAGTTTTGTCATAAATCGGCTTTTTCGGTTTGGTATTTTTTAATTTGGTATTTCAATAAGAAGGTGTTGATATGCAAAAATATTTGAAATGAAAAAAAAAGTTTGCAGTCGAAGAGAATTTCTAATGGACATCTTGTGGGAAAAAAAACAGATTTTTTGTCTAAAAACATTTTCGATTTGACATCTGAAGCAAAAAACAATCTGAGCGAAAGAGCTTCCATTTTGAAAAAAAGTCCGTTTTAAAAAGTTTCGGTGTCAAAAGAATTTTCCAAAATGAAGTTTCATCAAACAATTTTGATTAAAGATTTTCCGTTGAAATAACGGAAAAACTTCGAAGACATTTTCTTTCGAAAAATTGAAAAAAGGTTTGTTGTCAATGGACACTTTGGAATGAAAATGTATTTTTGTCAATGGACACTTCGGAATGAAAATCTTAAAAATTGACAATAACCATTTTTGGATGGCGAATTTCTGCAAAAAATAATACAAGAAGAAGTTTAATTTTGAACGGACAGCTGGTGCTTAAATGAAATTTGATTGAAGTAGTGCTGTTGTTGTTGAAAATTTTCAAATGAAGGTCTAGTGCAATAAATCATGATAAACGTTTTTTTTGGTCAGTGACTTTCTTAAATTGAGGTAATATGCAAAAAAAACGAATAAATGGACGTTTTCTAATGCAAGTCTTATCCCAATAAAAAGTTTTTTAGTTCACTAGCATTCCAAAAAACTTTTGTTCCGCCATCTTTATCTACCATTGCTGAATAAGCAAAATAGTGTATTAAGTATTTTGGTGGCTTGTCGCGCGGAGTTTTGTTAAACGGCCCTCAGACAAGGTCTAAGTAATCTTTTCGTTACAAAAAAAATTGGCGACTAATAGAAACCCTTGAAGAGTTCGGACTTGTTAGCAGTTCCAGTGATGAGGGTGATCTGGGCGAGGACGGTAGTGATTGTGAGTCCCGCTCTGGCAGGCACCGCACTCTTCTCTATCCAGAAGGAGATCCAGCTGAGCACCACCAGGGCCATGGAGGGAAGGTACATTGTGATCAGGTACATCAACATCTTCCGTCTCATCTCAACCGCAAAGCACAGAGTAGTGTAATTCGCGTCTGCAATCAAGACATTAAATATTATTGACACTACGTTGCAAAAATGCCTCGAGATTGAGTGCTCTAAATGGGCTATGTTGCAAGGACTTGAAATAATCTTGCAAAATTGTTGCAAGAGTTACATTTTGTTTCAAAACTCTTGCAAAGTTCTTGTAAGATAGTCCATTTTTGTCGTCTAGAGCATTCACAGAGATGGAACATATTATGATGTAGAGTGGTCTCAGGTAGCTTCACGTGATGTCAGGCACGTGATGTCAGCTGCCTCAAAGAACCTCTGGAAGGAGTTATATGTGGCATCATCAAAATGTCTGCAGTTGTGATCTCGATTCCGAAAAAAGTTTTTATTTCAAAAAGTTTCTTTCACTGTTGAGAAAAACTGGCTTGACTTTGTGTTTTCAAAAGTATCTCGAAAACTGGCGTTAGGCATCAAGAAAACGTAAAAGATATGTAGTTAACGTTATTTAACTGTCCAAAAAAGTTTCTGTAACTAATGAAACTTTATTTCTTTTTAAGTTTTCCTCTTCGTTGTTTTGTTGAAATTGCTGCGTTTGACTTTTCTACACTGAGGTAGATTATTTAAGAGTATATTCTCTATGTGACATTCGACCAGAATGGCCAAAATGCAGTCTCTGCAGAATTCAGGATTTTAGCAGTGAACCTTCCGGATTGGCGATTTAGAACGGATAAGGACGTTATTTGAATGATTGGCCAAACGGTGAAGGCTAGAAGATTCTGGAATTCTAAATTTTAAATTTTCGAAGTGATGACGTAACATTTCTGAGAAATGTTAAAACGGCCATTTTGGCTAAAATAGCAGAAAGAAACAGAACAACTTTATCTGCGATTACGAACAGTACGAAAATCGAGACTAAAAAACAACAACGAACTACCGAACAGCAGAGGACGTTCCGAGTTGCAACTATTGTGCTGTTACAATAGTTGCAAGGCCTTTGCGAACAACGGTGAAGGGTAAGAACCAGCCCTCCGAGTTAGCGTGAACCTGAGGTTAAGGAGCTTGATTCGCCGGATTCAAGAATCCGGAAGGGTCTCGGGACGGGAACTTTTATGAACTTGTATTGAATTTTAGCATCCTGTCATGTCCTGACTTGAATTTAACTGATATTTTGATTAGTTTTGACAAGGATGAGGTGCTAGGAGTTGGGGGGAAAGGGTTGATCCATCTTCGATGGAGATGATGATTTTTATCTACTGAACAAAAACAATAGTAATATAATAAGTAGTAGCCCTGTTTTTAGGAGTGACCTCGTGGTCTGGGGATACTGAGACCCAGCTATGAGCTCACTAATTTTGCATGTAATTCAGTTAATTTGAGCGTTCTGGTCGAAGCCGGAGAACAGTAACGTTTTTGTCAGCCTGATGTAAGAAAGACCACCGAAAAGTACTGGCTTGGTAGAGACGGTGAAAAACATGCAAAGCTCTGTTTAGACGCTAGCCAGTCGTCTTAAGACTTAGTTTTGTTATCCGTCGATATGTATCTTCCGGGCGAATGTTACATGTATGTTTTTATGGCGCTCCTGGGTGTTATTCTTTCATAACATCATGACCGGCGGAACCGTTAACGAGCACTCCGCGCCGAGCGGATGCTCACATTAACGCCCTTAATAGGCCTAAACTGCCGGGGCGGAAGGGTAGTTCGGAACGCGGAAGCCTTCCGGATTACCGTGAATAGTTTTTTAACCTAGTTAAGACCGAAAATTCACGAACCAGGAAGGGTGGGGGGAATCATGAACCCCTCATCCCCTGAGTGGTTTGTGACCAAAAACACTTAAAGATATAAGCAAAACCAAACAAAAAGTAGTATAGTACCCAAGAAAAACAAAAAACATAAAAAATAACCGAAAAAACCAAAAACAGTAAAAAAAAGTAAAAAATCAGTAGAAATCATCCCCCCAGACAAGATGTGATTCAACCCCCCCGTTTGTTGTTGATAGATATATTGTTGTTACAGGCATTTATATCAGTCAGGATCGTTACGATCAATTTTGTAGCCCGTTTGTGAGGCTTGTACTGTAGGGTTATTTGAGCATTTAAGCACGTTAATGATAAATTGCGCTCAATCCGGAAGGGTCAGCTGATTTGCGCTCAATTCGGAAGGGTCTTGGGTGAAGACCGATCCGGCAAGCAGTTCAAGGAGCAACAAGAAGGGGCTCAACGACAACAACAATCGACTGTTGGGTATCGTTAACAAGTTTTGTATCCCTTTTGGTACAAAAAGTAAGATAGTAATCTGTGGGGGGCTCGACAGTGCTGCACTGTAGTGACCCTTCACCGAACTGCGAATATCCGAGTTAAGCACCTTAATTCGGATAATAAACAAACCCGGAGGGGTATAGTATTACTAATATTATTACTTATATAGCCTATATTAATAGTCTTATATCGTTTTTCAGTGAAAAACAACGAAAACAGACCGGTTTTTAGGGTCAAAATAGCGATATTTTGATTCCCCCACAAGTCGCGATTTTTGAGATATCGATATTTTTTGAAACGGAAAAAAGCGCTAAGTTAGTGTGTTACATCGTAACTGCACTACTATAATAAGTAGAACCGGTTAACTTTAGTTCGGAAGTGGTTGGAACTAGTTTGGTACCAAAAACCAAATTTTCCCAATTTTTGATAGTAAGAAACACTAAAAATTTAGAAAATTTTTTGAAATTTTTGAGGTAGGACAGTAAAAATAGTTGTTCGGACAACCTCCACTAGTGAATCTACAAGTCTTAAAATCCGCTACCCGAAAGCCTTCCGGGTTGCAGAGAAATCGAACATAACGTGTTTGATTTGGTGGATTCATCAATCCGGAGGGGTCCAGGTAGCATAGTTTTTCGCAAAATTTTTCTACAATAGCGTTTTAGATCGGGTCTTTTGCATTGAACTAGAAGAGTATAGGCCTTCTGAGCTCGGATCAATAATTTTTAGGTCGAAAGGACCAGATTTGCGGAAAAAGTTTGGCGGAACCTATAAGAGAGAAAATTTTTTGAGTTCGGAAAAAAGACGTTTTGGTTAATAACTTTGGAACTACTGATCATATCGAGTTGATCTTGGTACCAATAGATCAAAAATTAGCTGAGCTTACTAATAGGATCAGAAATTTTTCGGAAAAGCGAGCGAGAAAATTTTTTGAGATTGTTTTTAGCAAATTACACAAATCCGGAGGGGTACACCCTTCACGTTTTATAAATTTTTCTGAAAAACCCTTATACCTCTACCAAAAGTTGATAGCGATTGAACTAAGTAACTTAGGACAGTTCTAGACAAAAAGGGAAGGCTGAAGGCACAAGACAACCATAATAGAGTCGAAGTTAGGCAAGTGATAAGACCCTTCACCGTTAGTGTGAATTGTCAAATAAGTGCCTTAACTTCAACCCGGAGGGGTCTAGGAAAGGACCCTATACCCTTCCCAGTTAATTCAAACAGCATAATAGCAACGCAGAACGTATCCGGAGGGGTATAAGCTGAAATTAAGAAAACTACAAAAAGCTACTTTGACAGAGCTAAGGGCTCCGAAGTCAGAGGGGTCCGAATCCGGAGGGGTCTACTTTCCACAAAACCGGAGGGGTCCGAATCCGGAGGGGTCTTATAGTTGCTAATTCGGAGGGGTCCAAATCCGGAGGGGTCTACTATTAACTAACTCGGAGGGGTCCCAATCCGGAGGGGTCTATATTCTGACAGTCCGGAAGGGTCCTATTTGTGCCAATCCGGAGGGGTATTATTTTATTAAGGACTTAGGTAAACGAAAGAAAGACTAAAAAGCGAGAGGTATTAGGTTATTAATACACAGGCTAGGTATCAGTGACTGCACTGGTAACTTGCCTCTCAAAAAGAACCAGACTAATACAAAACAGGTCCGAACTCGGATACTCGCGACACTAAGTCTAAATTAAAAAGAGCGTGACTCATTGGTGTGGATTGAAACATAATACGTTTTTGGGGAAAGTGACTGCCCTGAGGATTTTAGTAGGTCTAGCTCGGGCAGTCCGAAGGCAGATAGGTAACACAGTACTCGGTGGGTGCAATAGACGCCCACTTGAGAAAATTACTGCCTTCAAAGTTTTGTCTGTTTGGTGCAGCACCAAGCAGGGAAAGCTTTTTCTTTAAAAGACAGGTTCGACTATTGTACTGCGACCGACTAAGAGTACAAGACACATACGTTTTTTTATATATACATTCATATTGTGTCAATATATATATTTTTTTGTTTTTGATTTTAAATCAACCTAAACTGTGCTTGATTGGGTAGTGACTACACTATCTTTTAAATTGACTGATAACATCATATTGTGCTAGTTTCCAGAGCTTTGGACCGATAATCGGCTAGTGTGAATAAAATTTTATACAAACTGTACTCTGACAACATACAGGGATTCGTGGTCACTATTTAATAGAATCTGGTGAAATTTATTGTGTTGTGTCATTATTATTGTTAATAAAACTATAAGGTCTCTAGCAATTGAGTCAAGAGTAGGCATAGGAAAGTGACAAATAAAGAATGAGTTTAGACAAGTCAAGGATACCAAAACGAGGTAATAGCTCTAGGAAATTCATACCTGAAAAGCAAAGAAAAACGATGACCGATCCTTTTGTGGATTGGATCAAGCGATCCCGGTCTGACAAAAGGGGGACGGTTTCAGGCAGAATGGTTGAAACGAGAAGTCAGAAGACCTCAGAAGAGCGAAGAGAACTATTAGAAGTGGAGTTCAATACGGACCATACCATGAACGACAACCAGGGAGTAAATGGACTGGAAGGGAGAGGCAGAAGGCTGGCGAGTGAATCTACTCCGGTAGAACAAGGCCATGATTTTGCCACTTCCACCGGGACGTTGGATCGAGAGGAGATGTCGGAACTGTCCGACATCTCAACTGAAGTAACGGCAACTAGAAGATCTCCGACAGACAACACTATGATGGCAAGCGGAACTGGAAAACAAACAACCTCATCATCGTTCTCAGAAAGAATGAAGAACACCTTCGGAAACATCT